GCTTTCTTCACCTCCAAACACTATACCCCTTATGGAAATGAATAATTTGAACAAGCTTCTAAAGTTGTATGGGATTATTCTAAGTAAAAGGAAAATAACTCAATGTAAATAAAACCAAGTTAGATACCCTTCCCTGATCAGCATTCTTCGTGCTGGAGAAAGAAAGCCTGTGCTCTGGCACATTTCTTCATCCAAGTTTACTCCATTTGTTCGCTCCTACCATGCTTCCCCCAAGGATGAGAACACGTGTGAGCACAGTCTTTGTGTTATTGGTGTGGATGCCTCATTCTGTTTTATAAACCACTGAGTTGATAGAAATCTTCAGCCTTGTTATGTCTTAATATTCTGTTGTGGTACTAAAACACCTTTACCGAAGCAAACTAAGGGAGACGGCTCAGAATTTTAGGTTACATGGCAGAGAAGTCACAGAGGCAGGAACGTGAGAGAAGTGGTTACTTTCTATCCAGTCAAGATCAGAGATCTATGAACTAATGCACACTTGCCTATGCTCAGCTTGTCCTCCTTATTGAATTCCTGCTCAGAGAATGGTCCTTTCCATTCTAGGTTTAGTTCTAGGCACTAAACCCTTTGATTTGTTCTGTACCTCAAACATGGCTGCCCTTGATAGCTCTTATATTTAAATTAGATTTCCCAGAATAATGACACACAAGGAACAATTGGTAGCTGACCCTCCACTTTCCTGGCCCTCAGTCTTTGATTATATAGACTACACCAAGAGAGAAATGTCCACCAAATCCACCAAGTCATCATACTCACCCTTACCTGCATTTCACATTAGTAGAGCATGCTTCATAAAACCACCACACACTTACACATTTTTAGTAAAGAAAGAAGTTATGAAAGATATTATCATGTTGACTAACACACTTGTTTTCAGATATGCCAATCATCATCTGTAAGGTGTGAGGAAGAACAGATATTGATCAGTAAGGGTAGGATGTTCCTAAAGCCTCCCACATGATAACTCTACTGCTGACCTCTGGATGGACCCCATCTCACTATCAAGGAACTGACAGTAGTATTGATTCAGAGCCATGAGATTCTTTTAGAAGAAGAGAAGTAGAAGACACAGCAGCAGCCTTGTGTAGAGACCCCGCCTTTCTGCCTTTCAGTCTGTTCCTCTCCCTACCTTCCCCCTCTGGTTTATTAGGACTTATTATCTCCTGTGAGATGATATTTGGCCATGAATTTATGATATATTCCTAATTTTAAAACAATATCACAATACTTTTCTTTTACAGTTTCTTTTTCTAAATTATACTAAACCTTGCTCTCCAAGGCTAAATACTATAGCCTTTATTTATATAGAAACCAAGTGAACATCAAACTTTCTGTACTTTTCTTTCTTTGTTCATTTGTTAAAGGTTAATATAGGTAGCCAAACTACACATACACAGTCTCGTATACTTTGTTCTTGAAGATTCTGTGACATTTAAAATCAGGTTCTATTCCTGGATGAGTAGCCTTCCATCTAGGTTATAAACTATTTTGGGAGGGGTTCTCACTATTATGTAGTCATGGCTGGCCTTTAGATGACTAGGCTAGCCTCCAATATACAGAGATGCCTTCTTCTGCCTCTCAAGTACTTGGAAAAAGGTGTGCACCACCATTCCTGCTTCAAATGTATCCTGAGTTGTTGTCCGGGCTCCTTTTCCTAGGGAAGCACAGTGTCAACCTAATACTGCAGCCTTTCATATAATAATCAACATCAAACTAAAAGCAGTTTCATTCTTAAGAAAAATCAGTGTCAAGGTGTTTAGGTCTTAAACACGACTTCTATAAATGTAATTATTACTCAGATTTGTAACTGGTACAACCTTGTAATAGCCAAAGTTTATAAATTTATATCAGCTCATAAAATTAAAAATACTCATTGTCATAAGATGCTCTGAATGAGAATTCCCCCACCATAAGTTTCTTTTTTTATTCTAGAATATTTTTTAACACTTAATATAATAACTGGTTCACTACAGGGCACAATAAAATGGTCATAGGAACAAACAAAAGTGGATTAATGTTAATTGACTCAAACAAATGATCTTCCTAAGCAAATCATTAATAACAACAAGCGTGTAATAATGAAGGGGAGAGCTGCCTTCAGGCCAGTGTTTCCTGTTTTCCAAGTGCTATGCTCAGTACTGTATTTTATTTAATCACCACAGAGAGTTATGAGATAGGGAGGTGAGAACTTACAGAATTCTTCTCCATATAACGCATAATACCCACGAGGCCTCACACTCCCACCCACAGCCCTCTTTCCGCCTACTGCCTTCGGAGTAGAGCTCCTTGTGGCATAAACATCAAGGTTGATTCCTGGGTCTAATACACACACTTATGCTACTGAAGGGTTCTAAATCCAATTTTCCAGTGATGTGCTGAAAGTGGTTTTTTGCTTATTAAATAAGCATTTACCTCAAAGCTAAATTCTTGTCATTTCTAGAAATGCTAGGCAATATCATCTTTCTAGCGTTTGACTTTCTCTCGACTCTCACCACTCGACTGTTCTAACACATAATGTGTGGAGGAATCAGATGTGGTGAAGACTGTGCACCTCGACGTATCAGCCAGGCCTGCAAGTCATCGTTCACTGTGTTTTCTTTGTCTGCTTGTATTTGTTGGTTTGTTTTGTTTTGGACCATTTTAAGCAGAGTCTAGTCAATATTTGCAAGGCCATTATAATAGAAAACAGTAATTTATAACTATAAAAATTAAAGGAATTTTACTATTGCTATAAAAAGGATGTAATTCCTTTGAAACTAGAGATTAAAACTCACTCTTTCTGTGAGATTCCTCCTTCTGTGAAATGCCACTCTGTTTTAAATTAATTTTTAATTTTGCATGCAAAGGTATAGGTTTTATTATACATTCACACACATGTATGTAACAATCCTTTTGTGTTTTCATTCATCCGCTTCTCCCATCTTCCTCTCCCATCTGAGAGAGTTCTGTTTTCGCTTGTCTCTGGACCAGTTCTGTAAAGATGATAATGGGAGCTCTGAACTTACTCTAGTTTCTCAAACTGATTTTCTCACATGTCTACGTGGAGTCTACATTTGAGTTTGGCATGCAAAATATTTTATTTTGACAACAAGGAAGTCAGGAGATGCATAATGGAGATGTACCCTTCATGTCAAACTCCTCATGTTATCCCCAACAGATTTCATTTTCTGTGTAATGTTCCTGTTTGCACACCAGTATACACCAAGTCACTAAAGAAGCATGCCATTTGTGTCCGCTGTTGCTTGTTAGAGTTAGTCATTGCCTGTGAATGGACCCACTTCCTCTGGCCGCCAGGGTTTTTGTGTTGTTTTCATTGAGAAATGCATGACGTCATAGCTAAAGCTCCTGGAGCTTTGGCCACCTCTTTCACACAGCTTTTACAGAAGATAGTGAATCAGCCGGGCGCTAGAAGTCTTCTTATCCTCACTCGCTTTGTTCTTTCTCCCACTCAAAGCTCCATTTTGTTATCTTAGTCCCATATTTTAAAAAGTTAGAGTCTTAGAAAATTGATGACCTAGATTGATTTTGGCGTTTTGCTCCTGTTTCTGTGGCGTCCGTTACGGTGTAACGTCACATTCCCCAGATCGTTGCACTGAAGTTGATTTAACACATTAGGCCTCATGAGATGGCTGTCATTCTAGCCAGGCAGCTGGAAGTTGTAATGTTCTCACTCATTTAAAGACTCTTTACCTAATTAGAAACTAGGCAAGGCTCCCTTAGTTAGGCTTTGTGACAGTTCTCCCCTGGTCACCTAAAACTAAGCTTTGCTTACTGGGAATGGGAATATTTTTTGTTTCAGGTTTTCCATGATCAATTATGTTTTTAGTAAGCATTTCTGATGTTTTTTTTAAAGTCTAAAAGTGGCATTTTATAACCAAATAATAATACTTAGTTTGAATGTCCCTTTAAGCCAAATGAAGTCACAAATTTTAATATTCCAACTAAATATATGTTTAATATTCATATCTACTCCAAACAAATCCTGTTGTTATCTTTGGAGTTAATATCACTGATACATTATTAGTGGAGACATTAGAATATTTAGATTAAGTAAATAAATAGTGGGGCTTGAATTGTTATAAAATTCTAGCCTTATGAATTAGAGCAAGATTGTTATTTTTATTATACATATATAGTTTTATTAGAATAATAACTTTTTGAACACTTTCCTCCATGCCTAGTTTTGTTACATTTATTTTATTTAATGTTGAATATTACAATTTTGGTTAGAAGAATAGAACAAGCAACATGGACTCTTCTAGTGGGCTCAGAAATACAAATATGTATTGTCTGCCATGTTGAGCTACCCAAGCCTAGTCATATAATATGAATTTAATACTATGAAATACTGCCATGTAATATAGAAATAGCACCTCATAAAGGCTGTTCATTGGCACATTTCATGAACAATGCTGACTGATGGGACCTTGTTATACTCCCATGTCTTAAGAATCTGGTCAGTGGAGTGTGTCTCTTTCTAAAGTATCAATTACTGATTAGGAGAGAACATCAAGTTGGAGGTCCTGTTTGACATCTGCCTTTATTTGGAGGTGAACAAAGAAGCTTGTTTATAAATTTTTATACTTATTAATTCAATTTCATATAAGAACCAGGTGTGTACCCAGTATATTCAAAAAGTTAATCCTTACTGCATAGTTTTGTGTGTGGTATGTTTAAGTTTCTCACTTATAGTTACTGCTACGTATGTATTCAATATGGACCTACTAATATTAACTAATTGAAGGCAATGTTTTTATAGTGAGTTCGTTGGATCAGTGGGCATTGGGACACAGGTGTAGTTTCAGAAAGCACTGTGCATCTTCGGTTGAGGGTTTGGGATGAGTCTTATGAATGCCAGAATGAGAAGCCACTCATCCCTGACTGTCAGGGCTAAAGGGGAATCATTGGCAAGCCGTCACCCATAGACACTTTACAGTCTTTTCTGTTGTAAAGGTATGTACGTCTGTCTTGTCTTCCAGTTCTGCACAAGCAGCCCCGAGAAGTGTGTCTCTGTTTACTAGAGCTTGGCCGGATTGCAGCCAGGTAGGTAAGACCTCCTCGATCATGTCAAGGAAGAGACATATCTCAGCCGCAGGCAACAAAAACATGCTGGCTTATCACCATTGAAATTCAAACTGGATGTGAAGAAACCATTTAGCAAATGTAATTGCTTGGATCATCTTGAGAGCCATAGTTAAAATTAAAAGTACATCTCCAGTATTCTCAACACTGCAGGCATGAGGCAAGGACAGGCTTTACCTAAGCTTTCATTGATACCATTTAATCCATTTCCTTTCTGATATTGATGGAGCATGGAGTAGAATGATCTCTGCCTTTAATGTTTATGTATTTATTTTTACTTATGCTTGTATCATGTGCTTGCTTGTCTGTATGTGTACCATGTGCATGTGACCCGCCCAGCAGGTCCTAAGTTATTCCAGGGTCTTGAAGAGGCACTATCTGAAAGACATGGGGGGGAGAGAGAAATGGACGCCAAGCAGTATTCCTTGTAAAGGCATTCCGTTTATTGAAGCAAGTTTCATGTCTTAAATTCTCCTCAGAAAGGAGCTTGGGCAGGGGGAACTGAGGAAAGGGGGAAGGGGAGGAGGGGCTCGGTAGCTAGGCAACTAAGTGGGGGCAGTTTGGCAGCTAAGCGGGGCAGTTGCAAGGTCAGTGGCTAGAACACCTGCTGTTAGTGATAAGCAGCAAGCAGTGAAGACACTCTGTGGTGCTTTCCAGAGCTTGAGTCTCCATGGTCAGCACGTAATGTTTTGGCTAACTTTAAGTTTTCTGTCTCAAGATTTTTACTTCAAGGCCCTGTGAGATGTGAGAAAGGGGAGCCTGAAATGGCTCCTGACATGCATTTGGGTGCTGCAGACTCCCAAAGAGAGTATTGGGCTCCCTGGAGCTGGAGTTACAGACAGTTGTGATCTGCCTAGTGTGGTCCCTCTGCAAAAGTAGGAAGTAGCCATCTCTACAGGTTCCTACTTGACACTGTGTGCTACCCTGTGTGGGTGCTGGGAACCAAACATGGGCCCTCTGTAAAAGCAGTACATGCTCTTAACCATTGGGCCATTTCTCTAGCCCCTTTATGATTATGGAAAGAGGTGTTCTGAAAAGTTTTTGTGCCCAAAAGGACAAAAACAGGTAATTTTTAGCGATCACAGCTAAGTAAGTTGAGGCAAGGACCCTGTTAGCCAAACCAGCTTGCTCTGGTTTCATGCTTCCCTGTTTACAACCTTGCCAACCACTGGACAAGGCCATGAGACAGTTGTATAAAATCTAGAGAAGGAGAGATCAAGATGGAAAGATTTGAAGAGATCTCGAGGCAAATAAATGTTCAATTAATTAGTCATTTTTCTGATGCAGATCTGGGTTAAAATTAAACGTATGCTTCTAGCACTCCCAACACTGAAGTCATGTGATCTTTGCTTAAGCCATCATTGATACTATTTAATTAAATGCATTTTCTTTCTTATCTTGATGGTCATGGAGTGAAAATTTCTGTGCCTTTAAAGTTCGTGTGTTTACTTATGCTTGTATTGTGTGCCTGCTTGTCTGTATGTGCACCATGTGCATGTAGGTGTTGAGATCACATGAGCCAGTAAAATGCAGTGAGAGATAGTAATGCACGAGGTTAGGTGGAGAATTTATGTACGAAATTAGGAGAAAGAAAACACCAATTTTTTACATTGTAAAACTCTAGCTCAGTAACAAACACTGCCAGTAAATGTCTCTTTTTTTAATAGTCAGAAGTAATCCTGAGGTCTTTAAATCACCATAGCCCATAAATTTTTAGTGAGTTAAGTAATATATAAGATTTTTTATTTTATCTCAATAATTACAGTGAAAAAGATTGCTTCAATATTTTTAATTAAAATTAATATTACTGTGTATTACCCAATAAGGAATTAAAAGATGAGATATTTGAAGATTTCCCTAGTCTCACACCACTTCCAGATAACTGTTTAAAGGCTCTGGGTGATACTCATGGATCCACCTTCCAGGCACAGTCCAAGCTTGCATCTGTTGGCCAGCCTCTTCAGTTTGACCACATCCTTAAATTGAGTGGAAGAGGCAGTGGGACAAAGGTACTGCGGCTTTCAGAGACAAGCCTCCTCCACTAGCTTTGGACATTCTGCCTGTGTTGGTGGACTGGGGTAGAGACAACATTCACTCCTGGAAGGAGCAGACACTAAGGAAAAGCATAGTCAACCCACAACTATCTCGGAGATACTCAACTAGAAGGAACTTAAAGACTCTAGAAGATCTGTAAAGGAAATACTGTGTGATATAATTATATGGATAAAATATGAGGACCATGCTGGACTCTACTCTGTGTTTAAACAGTACAAATGGATTCATTAGCCGGCCAAGCTTTGAGAAGGGAAAGTGACGACAGGAAGACTGCCTGCCTCCATACAGTAGCAGGGGGTGTTGCATCCCCCATCTAGGGTAATCATTTTCCTGCTCTTAAATGTTTATTTCATAGCTGTTTGTCATTACATAACTATTTTAATTCAGACAGAACATTTCTAGCCATGGCTATCACACCATAAGTGAAGCTTGGCTCCCAGCTTTAGATCTGGCATCAGTTAACCATAATGCAGGCGTGTAAAACGAACACACATCTTGTTAAAGAAGAGAGTAATTCTTCTCAATTCTGATGGAAAATGACATATAAGAGTTTCTCTCTCACTACAAATAATTAATTACATGGTCAATCAATTAGTTTATTTAAAACCAGATCTCCTGTATACCACACATTCTTTGTATAGTGGAGAATGACCCTTGTGTCCCACTTCCAGTTTCCCAGGAGGAGCATAGGGTGCTGGAGACCAATCCCAGGGCTTTGGCATGTTGAGCAGACACTATGGACTGAGCTACCTCTAAAAGTCAACACAGATATTTCAGGCAGTGGTTATTCTGTATTGCTCTGTACACACCCACATTTTATGACTATGTGGGGTAAGATAAAGGCTGAATTTATTCCAGAACCTGTACCATGGAAGGCAGTATCTCATGGCAGAGTTGACATTTCAGTCACCTCAGCATTGCAGCCTTGTAGGTTGTATTTCTGCCTCTGTCAACTGAGTGGGTCTTGAAGCACTATATACTTTGTAAAGAAGGAAAGGGGGTAGTGCATGCCTCTTGCTGTTGCTTTAGTTAGACAGTTGAATGGATGCCAGTCAGATAAACTGTTATTCAGGTAAAAATTCCTATTTGTTTCTTTCTGAACACATCTGAACTATTTGTTTGGTTTTGCTGGAAGCTCCTAAAGTAGAATAGCATGTCTATCCCTCATCTAGTCTCGTTTCACATATAAACTCTGCCTCTGATTTAGATTTAGGTGCTTGAGGTCACTCCCTCCTCCCCTGTGTCCACTCCTGGAGATCAGATTAACACATTTGAGCAGTTTCAACCCAAACTAGGAGTGTGGTTTTTAGAGCACACTCAGAAACCACATTCGTCTTCTCCCATAAAGATGCATTTGGTTTTACCAAATGTCCTGAAGTCTCCTGAGTTTTGTGTTTTTTTGCATTGAGAGGGGATGCCTTTTTATATCCCACTCTAAATGGTACCCCCAGACTCCACATGTATGCTCCTAAAAACACCAATATCACTTGATAAATGATTCTCCGAGTGCTTCAGAGCCTCTGCTCTATCTATTCTTCCTGGAGACACTCAGAAGAACTCCCTCAAGAACCTGAGTCAGTCTGGCCTCTGTGGTGGTGACTGTACTTTTGTTCTCATGGCAAAATTTGGTTTTTAGCTAAACAAAGCTATCATTGTTGGAAGGTAAAATTTCTCTGCTAGTATTTCAGAAAAACATATTTCTGAATGTAAAAGTTATGACAATGGCCAAAGCAACTCAACAAAACCAAAAGACTCTTTTGACCAATATTTTAGTATTAATTTTCACAAAATGAAGAAATAAATGGATGATTTCAACATCCTTTCAGACTGCAGGATGAAGGTTATTTTCATAATAAAAGTGACAGCTTCTGACGTGGAAGCTTGATAGCAAGGATGCAGCACGCCACATCGTCTCATGGCTTTGCGTTCTGGTGCTCTGCAATCCATCTTCTATTTCAGTCTTAGTGTAATGAAATGTTACTTAAAAGAAAAGTGATCATGTGTTAAGATCACTAATTGATTCACTTGGAGACCTGCAAGGACTGCTGGGAGTTTATGTGTCCTTTCCCATGGCTAGGGCATTTTCCACATATAAATCTAAGTTTACATTCCTTAAAATAGGGAAAATGGGGCAAAATTACCTGGCAAGAATCTATAAACCATCTGTTGCATGCCTTAGAAAGAAAGAGTTTCATTAGTCTATAAACTTTGTCCCCCAACCCTACTGCAATGAAGCACAGATGTCTTTTCTTGGAAAGTACCATCTACTAAATAGTTCGAATATATTGTCTCCATCAGGAAGGAGTTGGTGGTACATTAATTTCAGTTAGCGTAATCCCATACACCACATCCTGTGCCAGCAAAATGAAAGGCCCATTACTGTATTCTCCCCATACAGTCGTCAATCCCAAGACTGGCTAGCTTGTTACTTTTTAATGAGATGAAAGTAGGTGTCCAGCCTCTGAGATATAAATACTATGTCTATATTTCTAGATTCTGCAGTAATCAGGACTTAGCTTTAGTGAACTCAGCTATCTTGATGACTGCAGTTGAACCCATATTGGGGTTGGGAAAAGGAAAGCCCTCTACTCCCAAAGTTCAAACACCTTGTTCTTGAAAAGAAGGCGAAGCATTAATTTGTGAAAGCCTTATAGAAAGAATGGACCTGTGCAGAGGTATGGAAGTTATCACTGATGCTAAGCCAGGGTAGCCACTTGAAGAAATGCATCTGATGACTAAGTTAGCCTGCAGGTGCAAGTCTCCATCCTTGGAGGTGGGTCATGATTTATAGCCTGCTGACACCTCCGAGACCCACAGGAAGCCAATGAGTCATATTCAAGTGTGCATTCCAGTGCTGGCCGACTCTACCCTGAGCAGCCTGAAGAACTCAAAAGCCAAAATAAGCAGAGATTGCAGACTCAGTGCTGCCTTTCTATGTCAGTGGCACAGCTAGCTTTCAGTTTCCCAGGTAAAGAAGCAACTCCAAGGGAACATCTTTCATGTGTGCGTCTATTACCAGTTTTATTCAAAGCTGGCCTGTTTGTTTTGTGTTGGACATGAGTTGACCCTCTTGCTACTCTAATAGCATATTTGTTAATGCTTTTTTTTTATTTTTAAGATAAAGTATATGTATCTTATTTTTGGGAGGCAACCTTCATCTACCTGCAGTAAAAAATATTTTCCAATCTATTTAATTTATATTTTCAAATATGATATTTCCACTTAAAATTACATAGAATTGGCTTTGATTGCAGTGTTTTAGATTCCTCCAACATACAACCAGGTTTATATTATTATTTTGAGACCATTCAACACAGGCATGTTTTACACCTTGATGGAGCTAAGAATCCACAGATGTGCAGTGTGGCCTTCCCAAGTCCCTGGCCTGTTAGTAGCAAAAGTAAGGTTGCTGTGAATCATCCATCACATTCTCTACCCTGATAGAATCTGTAGTGCATCAAGTGTCTTGTAACAATGCATTGCTTGGTTTCTAATGCAAAAGGTTATAAATATGAAATGTGGTGACTAAATCTCTATAGCAAGTGTTTTCTCATTAGGGAACAAAAATGACTTTTAATAGATTAGAGGCTGTACTGTACTGAATTCTTACATAAGCTTCGCAGCTCTCTTATAAAGACATCTGATACTCAGATTGCTTCTCACTCTCCCAATCCTGCGGGGGGAAAAAAGAAAATAAAAGAAGACGGGAAGATGAAACATCAAGTGTTTCTTTGATGACTGGGTCCTTCTTCCTAGAGGTGTAAACCAAATCAAGCCTGTTCAACATAACCATGTCCTTTCATCTCAGAGGGAAGAGGGGGTAATGAACTAAGAGGCCAGGAACTGAACCAACTGGATCCCTCTGTCAGAACAAAACATCACCAGGAGGAAAACTACCTCCCTAGAAATTTGCACTGCACTTGTGTGCAGTGATGTTTGTTAAGCAGCAAATCACAGCAGGAGGACACGTGCAGAGTTTTACATTGACTGCTGAATTGGCACAGTGCTCAACACAAAGTAGTAAGCAGTGTAGCATTTATTCTCTGCTCATAGACTGTTTGTATTGCATCTTATCTAGAACCTATGATTTTGTTTCTCTTGTTTTGTCTGGAGACAGGGTCCCTCAACTAGCCTAGACTGGTCACAGTCTTAACATCTTCATGCTTCTGTCTCGCAAGTGCTGGGGTCACAGGTGTGCCACACTCGGTTCACAACAACCTTGCAAGCACATGTGTTTTCTCTCCTTTATATTAAACAATCATCTGATCAAAAAGTGTAGACAAACTGACAACAGTGGGCCGTATTTGAGATTCTGTCCTGTCTCAGTCTTCAACAGACATTTATCTTTCTGTTAATAAAAGTATATGCCTAAATTATTTTTCTAAACATAGTTGTCAAGGTCTAAAATTATCTTTGGTGTCCCCTACTAAGCACAGTTGATATGGACCTATAAAACTCAGTACGTCTTTAAGTTTTAATTAAGGGAAACGGGATTGTGGGAGATGCAGCGATGATATACACTGTTGCCTTCTCTCTTGCCCATCCCTCCTCCTCCTCCAAGTCTCCTGAACGTGTGCTGGATCATTCTTGTTTCCTGTCCCTGGAATAGTGTTTATGATTTCGTTGTGCTATTCCTTAGGACTTAGCTTGTAATGTTGTATAGCCACATGCATTGCTCTTGTGTGTAAGAAATGAATCTCTGCTCTGTAGAACCAGTTACTTCTTTTCCTAATTAAGATTCTGCTGTTTTAATTTTGATATCAACTCTCTGTTTTAATCTCTATTATTAACAAACTTATATTTTAAACAATTCTTTAATTATAGCACTAATATTGTCAATTCTGTTAAAGAAAATGTTCAAGATCAATTCCTGGTGGGTGTTCATGTTGCTGGGACAGTGATATGTGAAACTGAGTCTGCTCCCATCATGTGCCTCCATGCATGTACACTTCTATACAGTAGTTACATGTGCTTTGGCCCTGCTCCAAGGATGCTAATTCCCGAATACTAGTTCCATTTCAGTGTTCGAGAGTCCATGCCCTTGCAAAAGGGCAGTAGTTTGTGACGCTCACAGTCCAGAATGTCACATGGTTATTACATTGTTGTAATGTGTCTGTGATAACAGTGTCATGCTTTTGAAAGGTATGGTGTGGAGCCTCCTGGTCTGATAAAGCTGGAAAAAGAAATTGAACAAGAAGAGACCCTGTCTGCCCCGTCTCCTTCACCTTCTCCTTCATCCAAGTCTTCAGGAAAGAAGAGCACTGGGAACCTGCTGGACGACGCAGTGAGTGTGGAGTTTACCACTAAACTTCCCTGCCTTCTCGCATCAGTTTGGCCTTAATGCATTTCAGCTTCTTTGAATTCATTTTCACTCCAACGAGAAAAATCTGTGCTCCTTCAGCTCATCGTGAAACTCACAGCCAAAACAGGGATTTAAAATAAAGTGCCACTTAGTTCCATTGCGCAGTGTCTTAAACCCTAGGAAATGAGTCAACCCCTTGAAAGCGGTTTCTGAAAGAACTTCAACCTTGTTCTTCGCTCCCGATTCCTCCTCTCCTGGATATAAACTGGAGACACAGAATCTTGAGGATTGTTGAGAAGGGGACACAGCGTCTGACAGGAAGATGACTGTACTTATTGATTGCCGGGTATTGGGCTAGAGCTGACCGTTTTTTTTTTTTTCTTAAGAGCTCTTACATCTGAAAGGAAGGTTGCTTGCAGAGGGGGAGATTGGAAGCTGTGTGATGCCAAGAGGAGAGGAGCTTAGGTTCCCTCGGGTGTTTGTCTAACTCTGGAGTTTGTGCACTCTGCAGTCCTCTAGGCACACGGTTCTGGTGATTAGGTCATACTTCAGTGATATCCTCATTTTCAGGATAAGCAGTTTCTAGGTATAGTAAGCAGTTCTTTCTCATGGCAGTGGTGTGCTGGACAAATATTCCCATGTGCTATGTGCTTGTGTCTTATATGCATGAAGATATTAATAAACGAGAGAAGCCAGGCGTTTTCTTGATATAGCCTGTGCAAAGTTTGCATTTAGGGGTTATAATTGCCTGCAAACTTAGAGGACACGAGAGTGGGAGAGCATAGGACTGAAGTATGTCTTGGCAGAGCGAGCAAAGTCCTTGGAAGCCTGCAGCAACCTTGATGCTGGTTGTTGACAGGATGCAGGCCACCAGGACTGCAGGCCTCCTTCTCTAGCGTCTGAGTGAGAAAGAGAAGGAGATTCAGGAAAAGACACGCACCTTTCTTTTGCTTTTCTCCACATGATAAATTTTAAAAAAGCAGAAACTTAACTAACTGCCTAAGCAGCTGTAGGTCTCCACAAAGGCAGCAAATTTAAGCCTGTCTCACCAAGGTATCTTATACAGTACATCTTAATCTGAGTTCTTTGATAGCCACTCACTCCATTCAGAATGTACAAATAGTCAGGGAGCTCTCATCCCACGGCAGGTGTTTCGGGAATGCTTTTAGGGTGAGTCCCATGCCTTGCGTCTCATAAAGCTCCATTTTCAAACACTGAACAGTAGTTGGATAATGCTGTATAATAATAAAGAGTCACTTTCTCATCGTGTATTATGCTATTTCTTTAGATTCAGCATGAGTTCAGTCTTCCGACAAATGTGTCTCTGGGCCACCATACACATTCTTACTCCTTCCCATCTCAGTCGTGACATGGACTTACATTCTCTCCTCCCTATACCATGGTGCCAGGCCTGTAGAGTGTCTGGCTAGTGTTACTGTCACTTCCCTGGCTCAGCCAGGGGAGCTCTCAGCTTTCCTTTATGAGGCTCATGCCTGTTCTTACTGTAGCTTTGTTTCAGCACTAGATTCCTGGAGTTCTTCTCTGCCAGTATCCCTGCAGCCAGCACACTGTGACAGAATGCCAGTCAGACGGTTAGAATTATTGTAGGATCCACTGGGACCCCCAAGCCCTGCCCAGCTGACACCTCCCAGGCCTCCTTGTTATGGCCCAATGTGCTTTCCATTCCTTTTTTCTTTGAACTACCTCTTTCATATCGAGGTAGCAGCTGTTATGTTTTTATAAACATATTTCTCGATTCTTTTCTAAATACATATTTTAATGTATTTTAATATTGAGTTTGTGTTACCTCCACACACATGTGTGCATGTGTACCTGTGGGAGTGCTATTAATGTACACATGCATGTTCATGCATGCAGAGCCTAGAGGCCTGTCTTGGAATTCTTATTTTTAGCGCTTTAGCTTTTAATTTAATTTATTTTTTTAAAAAAATATTATACAGGGCATCTCACTAAACCTGGAGCTCACCATTTCAGGCCAACTAGCTGGCCAGAGAGCTACAGGGATCTTCCTGTGTTCATTCCCCCAGTTACAGACATGTGCTGGCTTTTTTTTTTTTTTGACATGGCTGTTGAGGATCCAAATTCATGTTTTCATATTTGTATGCCAAGTATTTTACCCACAGAGCCATTTCCTCAGCCCACACATGAAGATTTTTCTTGGCATTTTTCAACAATGTTACAGCTTGCTTATTGTTCTCTAAGGTATTTGTAAGTATGCAATGAAACAGTTTTCAGCGAGGCCTAAATATCCATTCCTCTCAAGGGACAGTCTAATTTCCACAATCAAGTATGGTGCTTTATTGGTCTACATCTAACCAGCTTCCTGGTATAAATGCTCAGTGTGATGCCTCCTCTCTATCCTCTGTATTTGGTTATCTCTTCTGAAACATGTGCCGTTTGTGCTTTTCTGTCTGTTAGAATAGGTGCTGCCATTTGAGATCATGTGTCAGAACCAGGGGAAGGAACAAGAAGGCTCCTGTTTCTTTACCACTTTGTCTCTTGGCTAGCCATTCCTCATTTTTGGGAAGGAGAGACATATGAAGAGAACCCCCAAGGTGAAGAATAACTCCTACAGGGATCTGAGGCTGTTTCATCATTAGTCTAACTCAGATTAAAGGACTAGTGGTGTAGAGACCTGAGAAGGCAGGACCCTCAAGCTGTGGCTCTACATTCTGTTCTTCCAGCCCAAAGCTGTGTGGACCCTTGAGAGGAACCTCGAGCATATAACTATTGGTGTAATGGAGGAGTGTGTGGTAGTGGACACATTTAATGTGCTAAGTGGACACATCCACCTCTTAGCAGTGAGAATTCTTGTGTCCCATAAACCTTAAGGAATGCTTACAGAAGAACTACCACTACAATCTTTCCTGTGGGGAAAGAGTCGGTTAACATAGGAAATGCGAAGTATCGCTGTCTCAGCCTGGCATTCAGAGAGCTTGCCAGCATCACACAGCTGCTGAGCTCTCTTAAAAGATCTAGTTGACCTAGCATTTTTCAAATATACTAGAACATAAACCTTCTTTACAGTTTCCTCCATTCTTCAGTCTTGTAGACTCCACTGAATTTTTTTGCATTGTGTTTAAGCGACACTATTTTCCTGAAATATTTTATCCCCAAGACAGTGGGACAGAAGGGAACCTAATTTGAATCTCATTAACGGTTTACATCAGACCCTTTTGATCTAAGGTAAAAAGGAAATAGCCATCATTATAGCTGCTTTACCATGCATCAGGAACATGTAGCTGTTTGGAACTGAACTTGACGTAACTCAATAAATATATGGAGAAGAGGAATTGAAAGTCCGTGTGTGTAATTAGCAGTGGGTTGTTTTATGCAGAGTTATTGTATGCCTCCCCCAAAGGAAAGAAAGATGAGGTATGGAAGAGTAAAGGAAGGAAGCAAAAGAGACAGAAGCAGAAGACAGAGAAAGAAAGGGATTCCCATGCCAAGATGATTGTCTTCCAGAGTAGGACTTCAGAAAGAGCCAGGACTGGAGCCCCCTTTGTTTGCTCACATTTTCTTGTCTGATTCTTAGGGGAACTGCATGGAAATAGGCGACCTTTTATGTAGACAATACATCCCCTTCCTTAATCAAGATCTCACAGAGGAAACACAGTGGTGTCCTTTCCAAAGCTTTATTCCCTATGTCCTGAGGCTGCGATCCAGCTATGATAGGCAGCGAGGTCTGCCTGAGTGCTCCTCTGTGCCGTCCCTTGTGTTGAGCTTGCTCTCACAGGGAGCTGAATGCAGTTCTAAGAAATGACTTACTGTCTCCCTTCTCTTCATCAACTTCCTCAGTCTGGGGATGAAAGATATTGTAATTCTGAGTAACCAGGCCCCTCTTGAAATCTCATTTTAGCTGCAAACTGGCTGGGTTCTGAGCCAAGAACAGAGCACCTGGCAGACAGAGTTACCTCTTGGTAATGTCAGAAGCAGGACTCTGATCATCCACCCTTAACTTAACAGTCCGTTTCCACTGCCCCTGGTCTGCCTCTGCCCCTGACACAAATGGAAAAAAAAAAGCCCTTGATTTACAAACAAATAAGTCTATCTTTGTAGTGAGGAAAGCATGAACAAAGGACAGGCCGCTTGAGAAAATGTTTCTCACGCTAATTTGCCATTAATAGGATCAGTACTTTTTTCTGAGGAACTTGCAAGATGGAGATGTTGCCCACACAGACTTAGGATTGTTTTTTGTCAATAGAGAATTTGCTCAGTAAGTTACAATGCCTTGGTCCTTGAGTTCTGTTGTTCTTTAATCTCCTAGATGACAAAGATCTCATCCCTGTCTCCTAGCCTCCTAGCTCCTTTATGTCATGCTTACTCTTTTCTTCAAAGCCCTTCTGGTAGTGGTAAGGGTGATTATATATATATATGATATTTTACAAACGTCTGTAGGAAGAGATCAGAAGAACACTGAAGATAATGCATAAGTGCACTTGACTTCATGGTTCAGAATGGGAGTCTGTCTTGTAAGGGATGGCTTCACCATTCCTCATCATTTACACCACTAAATCCATGGCCCGATTCCTAAATGAACAGCACATGTTCCTTCACTCTTCAGTGGAAGTCATCTTTAAGCCTGTCTGGATCAGGCTCCCTCTGCTCTGGTGATTTCTTTCTGGAGCCAGGCCTCTTTTGTTCCAGTGATCTTTCCTGTGTGTCCTATGAAGATTCATCCCATTGTTAGTGTGATTAAGTATGTGTCCAGTGTCCATCTGTGGAGCTCCTTTCTGTTTCATTAGGGTGTTATGCTTTATGTCTAGGGTTTAAGATGAGGTAAGATATTATCTTAGCCCTTAAGGAGATGCTAAGGTTGAGCAATATTGCCTCACTAGGCTCCCGTCACAGTGATGACTCAGAATCTTAGGCTTGCGTTGTTAGAAAAAGATAGGTTGGGAAAAGAGGCGAATGGATCTGTGTGTCCTGAGTTAGTTCTTTCGCTTTCAAAATAGTGCTATTTTGTTTGTGTGATTGAGGCACAGTTCGGTTGTTCTTAGGAAGGTTTTTTTTTTCTTGCATTCTTCCTCCATTCCTGGTTTTTTACTCTGTTGTCAGGAACCTTCCATACTCTAGCAAAACCATTATATAATTCTTTTATAATAAAAGTTAAGGGAGTTCATAAACTACTCCCCTTATGGATTTTGTTTAGCAAAAGAGTGATTGAGTCACTATATCACTAAAAATAATGTTTGAAGTCCTGAGTGATAGCTCAGGGTAGAGAGTACTTACTATTCTAGCATAAAGACCCTCATATAAACAAAACGTGGCCCCACCTGTCCTGTAACCACAGTGCTGTGGGGATGGGGACAAGAGGATATTTGGGGCTTGCTGGTCACGAGCTCCAGGTTCAGTGAGAGACTCAGTATCAAGGAAATAAGGGTTAGGGTTGAGATCACCTACTGTCCTCCTCCTCCTACACATTCACACACACACACACACACACACACACACCTCACCAACTTGTAAGTATATACCATATACTGACATACATATAAACACAGAGTAAATGAATAAATAAATAAACAATGGCTGGATTTCTTGATGGCCAGCCATAAGTATCCTAACTTTCCTATCTGTTGAATTAATCTTAACTTTACAACATGGTAGCTACTCACAGCTGATTATAGTTCAAGGAAATTATGGATGAAGTATTTGACATGGAACATATGAGATATTTGGGTTACTCTGGATTGTCTGAAATAGCTTCCTCATTAAAAAAACATTCTAGACGTTTCATGGATTATGAAAACCAATTAATTTTATAGAGATATTTTTAAGATTTGCAGGGTTCATGCCTGTTTATGAGCTCTCCAAAAGAATATTTATCAAAGTCATGTTTTATTTTCTCATTTTAAATGCCAGCTAATACAGTATTTGGTAGCTAAGATGGGATGGAACACAGATGAATATGAGTGATCTGTCGGTGAAATTTCAGGGGGAAATCTTAGTGTTTCAAGCAAAACAAGAGTTTCCAAAAACAAATAATTTTGTCATCATTTGTTTCAAACTTAAATAAGTTATAGTGGAATTGTATTAAAGAAGCCTTCCATGTCTCGTGCATTCTCTCTAGTTTTCAGCATGGTTAGCTTCTGCATGCTTTATTTTACCACTCATTGCCTTTGTCGTGGGGACCTCACACATGGTCTTTCTTGCTGTCCAGCTTATGGCTGCTGTCATGACAGTTGATCTCATCTGCTCTCCTCCCTCCCCACCAGTGTCATCATCAGCCATATGTTCAGAACCTCAGAAGATGCTCCCAGACCCTGGTCTTTGCATTTCAGCCAGGGTCCCTGTCTTAGTTAGGGTTTTATTGCTGTGAAGAGATACCATGACCACATCAATTCTTATAAAGGAAAATGTTTAGCTGGGCCTAGCTTACAGTTTGAGAGGCTCAGTCCATTATCATCATGGCAGGATATGGTGGTTTACAGACAGACATGATGCTGGAGAAGGAACTGAGAGTTCTACGTCTTGATCCTCGGGCAGCAGAGGGGCTGTCACACTAGGCCTAGCTTCAGTGTGTGAGACCACAAAGCCCACTCCCACAGTGACACACTACCTCAAACAAGGCTACATCTTCTAATGATGCCATTCCCTATGCCCTCATGTTCACACCACTACAGTCCCTGTGCCCACATCATTTCTGATATAGAACAAGTCTAGATGATTAAGTTTGGCCATGTTTGAACGCTTGGAGAATAGTCACATATGATTTTATTGGGGACAATGAATGTGCTACTCTATTTCAGGTAAAAAGAATCTCTGAAGATCCTCCCTGCAAGTGCCCAACTAAGTTCTGTGTGGAGCGACTCTCTCAAGGTCGATACCGAGTGGGAGAGAAGATCCTCTTCATCAGGGTAAAGTCCTCTTTTCTCCTTCTCCTCTCGTCCTATGGGAACGTTTTCCGAATCCGAGTAATCAGAGAAAATGTCAAGGGAGCTATGGCATGTGACTGGCCAGAAACACCTTCTGCAGGGAGTGGACATGATAATATGCTGTGGAAGGCTGGGTGAACAGAGCATGTCTTTATGCATACAGAGGTTTCGGCTCCCATGGAGCAAGGTAGCCATTTATGTTTCCTGGACTGGAATGAAAATGTGCCCTTCCAGGACCTTCCATATATCATAGTGTGGAAAGAAATCATCACCCTTTTGGTTCTGGGCAGCTTTTCAGATTAGTTCAGCATGGGTTTTTCACAAGTCTGGATTAGAGACCCATGTGATGAGATGAAAAACTCTATCTCAGAAACTGGGGATAGAGTGTAGTTGGAAGGAGGCTTGCCTTGCATCCCGGGGTCCTGGGTTTGATCCCCAAAATCCCACAAAAAAACCCTCAGTACAGTATCCTGTCTTAACAGTGACTAACACTTTCCATCTGGGTTAGAAGAGAGAATGGCTCCAGCTTAAATCACCGGTGTCCTTGGGGGCTGACACTGGCTCTGTAAGGCTGAGTTTAAAGCTTTTTACTCCAAATCTGCTTTGCTAACAGTTAAGAGAGTTTGGTGTCTCAAAACAAGTTTGTGATATTTGCGAAGGCCAAAACTTCTTTAAAGCTAATGAAAATGTAACCTCATATATACCCCTTGAAAGCTTTGGTTCAGAAAAGTTGTTTTTTCTTCTGTGTCCTTTGGGCCCTTCCTAAGGAAAGCACGCTTTTCTCGTTAGAGCCTGTTAAAAGTGTCATGTTGATCACCTTGTAGAGCTGAAGCATCTTAACGTTTGTATCAGGTAAGATCGAGGAACAGCAAACACTTGTCTGAGATGACCTACAGGAAACTCTGTGAGATTTTATTCATTTCAACTTGAGCTGAAATGTAGTAGGACAGCAGGCCTCTTTAAGAATCTGAAACATGGATAAAGAAATTTTTATCTTAAACTTTTTCGATCATTTCATATTTTTACCTAATTTCAGGTTAATGTTGACTCAGTATAAACAAATGCAGGTAATAATAGCTTTTCTGCTTGTGATATAAACAGACCATTTAGAGGTCCGTGAATCACCCTGGATTTAGGGCCTAGGTGGGGAAAGCAGGCGCCCAGATCGCTGCTGTTGCCTTGCTTTTCCTTGCAAGGATAAGGTGCCTTTTAAAGCTCAGTTGCCTGCCTGCACATCACCACATTAAATAACGATGCTTCAGAGTCTCTATGGATGCATTAACATTTTCCCAGGCTGATGGCTCAGTTGAGAATTAGCCTCCCCTAGAATGAGACCCCAGAGCCTACAATCAAAACAGGGCCTTATTAAACAGCCTTTCTTTTTGTGATAGAAATGTTAATAACTTGGACACTGTTTCCTCCACTGTCACCTAGGATCTCCAGGCAAAAGAATCCATATGCATACTTAATTGTGTCTGTCTGCTCTTCGTATCTGTTCAATTGCCAGAGAATCTGATATTCGTGTGTATAGACAGCATAAGATTTTATAACAGTTACCAGGTGAGCTAGTTATTGACGGTCATTTTTCTTTTTCAGGAAATGCTTCTTTTCTGCTAATTTTATTCTGTCATTTATAGAAGAATTCAGGCTTTTATTGTGAGTGAAGTCATCAAGTTCCCGAGTGGTGGTGTTTTCACTTAGTGTGGCACAGGCAGGCAAGCCTGTAAAATCATGCCGCACAGTGGGTTGGCTCACGACTGGGAGCAAGGTGCAGCAGCAGGCTGGCAGGATGTGGTTGCAGCAGTTTTCAGTGACATTTAACCATAAACCTTGCACTGTCACATCATGTGAAAATTGATTTTTTTCTCAAAAAGTATAGTTTTAAGGAGCTTTTGTATCACTACTTAAACTGAAAACTAAATCTGTGTTTACAAAGCTAAGTCCCATGAACACATTTTCACAGATATTTTAAATATTTTTATTCTTAAGAATTTCATGTATACATATTTTCATCATATCTTCCCTACTCTCCTTTTAACTCCTCCCTACATCTCTCTTTCCAATTTCATGTGTTTTGCTGTTTAACAACCCATTGACTCAGATGTGTGTTGCTTTTATATACGTGAGTGTTGGACCATCCAGTGGAACACGGTCAACCCTCCAGATGCACTTACCTGGAAATACCTGACTCCTTCCCTGAGTATCCATAGCTTCCATTAGCTCCTCAGCTCCCTCCCCTCATCCTTGCTGAGCTGTTGACTGGACTGATTGTGTGTGTGTGGTCAGAGCTGTTGTGAGTTCACAAGCCCAGTGGCCATGAAGCACCTAACAGACACCATTCCACAGCCTTCCTCTCCATCTTCCCATCTCTACCCCCCTTCCATGATACTTCCTGAGTCTGAGGATCAGGAGTTGTGATCTGCAGACCCACTATGAAATTAATTTTGCCACTGTTTTGAATTTTGATGTAAATATTTTGAGATAGAGGATTGCCAAAGGGGTTGCAACCCATAGGCTGAGAACCTTGGAATTAGTCTCTACTCAAATAAAATAAAGCCCTTAGTACAGTGAACAAACCTCTGTAGTTTTTTAGTTCTGGTTTTAATCTACTACATCTTAGTAATCTTCTCACAAATGAAAAATTATAATAATTGTGTCTACATGATAAACAACAATTTCCCAATGCCAGATTTTTGCCTATATTTCTCATGAAAAAAACTGTGGGGTTGTTTTGGGGAGCTAGACCGGGAAGTTGGTTCCCCACGTAAAGCATGCGCCACACAAGCATGGGGACCGGGCTCATCAGAATCCAGGGAAAACTGCACTTGTAACCTTGGCAGCAGGTGGAGACAGGAGAATCCCTAGAAACTTGCAGGCTAGGTAGCCTGCTTAGCAGCAGTAACATGCAAAAGAAAGCCCGTGTTTAAGAAGGGGGACAACAAGGACAAATCTCTAGAGTTGTTCCCTGACTTCTGTATGTGCACTATGGCATGCATGCACATGTGGTCGCACACTAGAACCTATGTGCTCATGCACACAAACATATACACAAAACGTATTTTTCCATCATAATATTTTTATTGATTATTTAGGTGTTTCACATCATGTACCCAGACCATATGCACTTCCCATTCCTCCCAGGTCTGCCTTCTGCCTTGTGACTCCCCACCCCTGAAAAACGAAGAATAAAAAAAAGCCACAAGTCCAATTTGTATTGCCCATATACTCACTGGAGATGGTCAAAATCCTAGTAGCCAGCTCCTTAAAGAAAACTAAGTCTTTCTCACCCACACCCCTGCCAGAAGTCTGCAATAGAGTTTTTAGTGTTTTGTTTTTGTTTTTGTTTTTCTTTAAAAGCAGTTGGCATCTATTCTGAAGGTAAATCTCTCATTTATTTCAGGATTTAGATGACCATGCCAAAAATCTCTTTAACAATTTCTCAGTAACAGAGGTATTAATATTTCCAGTCCGCCAAACAAGGCTCCTGGCTGCTATCTGGATTCCTACATGCCCTTTCTCCCTCCATCTACTGCATTCTAATGGGGCCTCCCATATTGAAAATTCATCTGCAGCACTGTGTGTAAGCTTGGGGGATGATTTCAGAATCCCCAGTGGGATAACTATTGTGCAGTCTTACTGTGACTTGTAAAGTGTCCCCAGGTGAGCCACATCAACATCTGGGAACCCTGTACAATGCAGACTCTTGCACCTTCCCAGAGCAAAGCAGAAACTCTAAGGTTCAGGTCAAACAACTTGTGTTTTCACAAGTTTGTGAGTAGTCAGCATGTGTCCTGGAGCTTGAAAATCACATATCTTTAGAGAAAAAGAACTCCATATAGGAGGAGAGTCCCTGAGGAGGGTCACACAATCAGAAATACACACACATCTCATTACAAAAGAACATTAACCTTAAGGTACAGAAAATTTTCATTCCATTTGAACATCTGTTTTCTTTCTCTTTGTATGGGTGTTTTTGTCTGCATGTATGTCTGTGCTTCATGTGTATATAGTAGCCATGGAGACCAGAAGGGAATCAGATTCCCTGAAATTAAAGTTACTGTGGTTGTAAGACACACTATAGGTACTGGGTATTGGACCTGGAAGAGCAACCATCTCTCCAGCTTCCAGAAAATGAATATTTTGAAGACATTTGTGTATTGCATGGGAGTGGCTAATGTACATCATAAAGAGTAAGCTTGTCAGTCATGTGAAGTGGTTTATATGGAAATAACTATATAGATAAAATGAATAAAATGGTGAAAACTGAAGACCATTTTTATATGCTGTGAGAGCATAGAGTTATGAACATGAAAGTGTTTTCTTCTTTATTTTTACCGATGAAGACTATTAAAATAGGACCCAAGAGAAGTCAGCAAACTGGGACAAGTATAAATTTAAAATAATTAAAGGTCCTTTGAAACCTGTTGTTTAATTAGCTGACTGTTCATTTTAATGGATCTTCTTTGAGCTTACCTCTTCTGGAGGAGGGCAAGGGGCTGCATTGCAGTTCTGTTGCTGTTATTTGGGCCAGGATGGATGATGTAGTTTGTTTAAACTTCTGTAGCATGAGGACTGGCTTGTTGGGTTTTCTGTCCCTCCCGGTCCCCCAGCCATTTAGTCCCAGAGAAAATCACACAGAAGTCTCCATAAGATTATAAACTGATTGGCCCATTAGCTCAGGCTTCTTATTAGCTCTCGTAACATATATTAACTCATTATTCTTATCTATGTTAGCTGTATGGCTAGGTACCTTTTTCAGTGGGGCAGGTCACATCCTGCTTCTTCGGTGGTCTGGCAGGACTGGGAGGAATAGGCTTCCTCCTTCCCAGCATTCTCCTGTTATTGCCCCGCCTCTGCTTTCTGTCTGGTTGACTCGCCTATACTTCCTGCCTGGGCAATCAGCATTCATTTAAAACATGATTGACAGGATACAGACAATTATCCTACTCAAACTTTTTACATATTTTTCAGTACTGATACCT